CGCAAAAGCGCATTTTTATAATGATAACTCCGTGGCAGTCTAGACGCTCTTTTCCGCAAATACTTTTAACTGAAAAACTTTTCCGTTAAAAGCATTTGAGGAAAATCATGCCAATCTAGACGTAGCCCATGTCTATTAGGATCCTATCCCCACCTAAGATCTCTTTCTCTCTTCCCCTATGATCATGTAGTAGTAGTAATAGCAGTAGTAGTAGTATGCCTAGGGACCCTAATTATTGACCAGAACCTCAGAGGACTTTGACTTAACATGGAACAAAAAAAAATTATAGTCCTGCCCCTAGAAGTATACATCCTAAACAAATCATCATTGAATGGAGAACTTTTTATATTCACTGCTTGACAAACATGCAGAAAATACTGAGTCACCAAAAATTAGTCAAGGGATATTTCATTCCTACTGAAGGATTTCTTTGTTCCCTTGACATTTGTGGATCCTCTCCCTTCCCTTAGTCATCAAGAATTCATGATTTATTAACATTTCATGTCTTTTCCTCAGCTCTCCATGACTGCAGTACAAGTGTTCTGGCTTCACAGTTAATATGTAATGCACAGTTAATGTACCATGAGTTTATGGGCCATTGAACACTTCACAGATAATTCACAATTACTGATTGACAACAGCAAGAACAATCAAGTATGGAAGGAAAAGAACATTTATATGCCAAACTAAGTCTGGTTAGCTAAAGTAAGACAAATGAGTCTGTTCTAGTTAGATATGATGAAGTGAAAGAGAGCCATAGTAGTTATAAAGACATAAGCATTATTCAGTAAGCCTAATTTTCTAGCTTTCCCTAAATCTCCTTAAAGCTGCTATAATGTAATAATGGGTTAAAATTAATCACTGTGTCTTGATCTAGCACACGTCTACAGACCAGTTTAGTCTCACTTAAACTCTGTTTTAAAAAGTTTAACTGGGCTTTAAGCAGGACATAGACTCAGGGTACATCTAGACTACATGCCTCTGTCGCCAGAGGCATGTAGATTAGGCTACCAGACATAGTAAAATGAAGCGGCGATTTAAATAATCGCCACTTCATTTAAATTTACATGACTGCCGTGCTGAGCCGATAAACAGCTGATCAGCTGTTTGTCGGCTCAGCGCGATAGTCTGGACGCGCGGGTGTCGACATCAAAGGTATTTGTCGACCACCCAGGTATGCCTCCTGGGATGAGGTTTACCTGGGTGGTCGACAAATACCTTTGATG